ATCTATGATGGACTGATTTCTCTCTGAATGTAAATTTTGGCATTCTTTTCTTTTCTTTCTGATTTTTTTCTTTTTTTAAGATTTACTTGACAGAGTAAAGCACAAGCCAGGGGAGTGGGAGAGGGAGAAGCAGGCTTCCCCCACTGAGCAGGGAGCCCAGTGCGGGGCTTGATCCCAGGACCCTAGGACCGTGACCTGAGCAGATGGCAGATGCTCAACCAACTGAGCCACCCAGGCGCCCTCGCCCCCCCGATTGTTACTCTTTCCGCTCCTCTCCGCATTCCTGCTCGCTTGTTTGCCAGGACCGATTTGCAACATTACCTGTTACTCCCACTGTTTGTTGGTGAGACTTGTCCCTCGTCGAATTTGCCAGCCGCAGTTACCGGAGTGTCCCCCTGCCGCGTGCGGAAAGCACTGATGAAATGCGTGGATTCTTGCAGTGCCACGAAGTGCCATTCCGGGGGAGACCGAGATTTTTGGGATTTGTTTACACTTTCTCCCCCCCCCCGCCCCCATCGCCACCCCCTTCCTGCCAATTTATGGAGTTTGCCATCGTTTTTTACTCCTTGATCTTTATGTGGAAAATGTGTATCAGTCAATTTTGTGTTCTTAAGAGTTTTGCAGTTTGGCAGGCTGACATTCCAGAGGAGTGTTTTATATAGCCGAAGGAATTTCAATCGCTTGAGTCTCTGGGGACTTAGTGCAAAGCATTTTAGACAAATGTACCTCAAGAAAAACACGCTGATCCTTTTAATGCTTTAATTGTATTTAATGATAGAAGCGTAGTGTCTAGAGCATCTTGATAACAGGTTTATTTGATAACCCCTTTTTTAAGTGTTGTAGTTGGCTAAAACTGTCTGATAAGCATTGGTATAATGAAATGATAGTCCCCTCCCTCTTTTTTTCATGGACCATCATTGTCCACAATAATGAAGTCAAAGGAAGGTTCTTAAAAGTCCTACAATATACCTACCTAGGCATCAGTATGGTATAATTGCTATTAACGTTAATAGCAACATTTTCTAACAACCCTTCTGGGGAGCTCGGTACTAAACAGGCACTTGGCCATTTGTTCTCTTTTAGGTTTTTGATAACCACTCTAGCAGTAAGATTTCTTAACTCATAGTTAGGATTACCTGCCTTTGGCAGAGCAATTTTGTTAGATAACACATTTTTAAATTTCTTAAAACTTTTAACAGTAACAGTTATTTAGCTGCTCCAGAAGAAGCTCTTGCTTCATAAGATGCTGGATCTATAGTGTAAACTCTAGATCATTTGATAGTTGAATAGAGGCTAGATTTTTCTCTTCTGTGAAACTGGTTCATCAAAGGGAGACATGATTAGTAAGTTGATTCTAATAGCCCCAGCAAAAATATAATTTCAGATTCTAAGATTAAGCAAATGTGGCTTATTTCTGATAGATTACAGGTGATACTTAATCAGACTTAGAATTTCCCATTTTTCTGAGCTTTTCCCAAAAATGGGATAAAAAAAATGTGTTACATAGTGTCACTCTTGAGATTATGTAACTCCTATTTGGAATGGTCATTTACCATAGTAAGTAATTGATTGAGGAGTATAGAGGGATACTTATTTCATTTTACTCCTGGTTTCCTTGGGGAAAATACTGGGCTGTCACTTATATAAGGTTACTTAAATCATTAAGTATTGATGCACTTAACTGTTAGGGCCTATAATTTGCTCTCTTTCACTGTTTAAGGAAACAGAATTAGAATATTTGGAAATATTTATATTGTTAATGGAATTCACACTATTATTTTTGGTCTCCCTTTTTCTTTTACTGCACCAGAATTTAACCTGGTGCACAGTGGCTACTCAAATGTTTTGAATAATTGAAAGAATGGCAAGGTCAAAGAGTTTTTGACTATAACATCATTTTGTGATTATGTGGCAAAGTTTTGGGGGAAATGTTGATTGCTCTGAGCTGCAGTTTTCTCAAGTTTGTATATTTTGAGGATTGCTGTATTTGATTAAACTGCTTTGGGATTTTGGAGGAGAAAGTACAGTAGACATATTATTTTGTGTTACGCTTTAGTCCATTGGGTAGATTTGTTCACTTAGAATTGATTTTGGTATTTTGTGATTTTCATGAGCAATGTCAATTCAGGTTACGTCTTGTGCACTTAAAGTCACCATAAAATTCTTGGATGTGTAAGCTTATCCTATATTATGATAAGTTCACTAAAATTAGGTTACTTTTTCTTTTTGTTTTTAATTTTTTTTTTAATTTTTATTTATTTATGATAGTCACACAGAGAGAGAGAGAGAGGCAGAGACATAAGCAGAGGGAGAAGCAGGCTCCATGCACCAGGAGCCCGACGTGGGATTCGATCCTGGGTCTCCAGGATCGTGCCCTGGGCCAAAGGCAGGCACTAAACCGCTGTGCCACCCAGGGATCCCTGTTTTTAATTTTTTTTAAAAAAGATTTTATTTATTTATTCATGAGAGACAGAGGCAGAGACTCAGGCAGAGGGAGAAGCCGGCTCCATTCAAGTCCAATGTGGGACTCAATTCCGGGACTCCAGGATTACGCCCGGGGCTGAAGGCAGGCGCTAAACCGCTGAGCCACCCAGGGATCCCCTAGGTTAATTTTTCGAGGGATTTTTTTTCAGGTGGCTGAAATGGAAGAATGTGACCGTGGTTATGTAACATTTCAGTGGTGGTGGTAATGGTGGTAATAGTAATTAGCACAAAGTGTTTACTATTTGCTGGGTCAGGTTCTAAGAAATTCAACCTTTACAACAACCTTGTTGGGTGTTAGTATTCCCATGTCACAGTCTAGGAAACTGAAGTTACATAATAAGAGTAACACAGCTACTAAGTGATAGAACTTGGTCTTGGTTCTTTATTATACTGTGATAGTGAGCACCTACTATATACCAGGTTCTTTATACACATTAAGGTAGTTTTATAACCACCCTAGGTTAATTCCTAGTTAACTCCTCATTAACATTGAGAATGTCAGGCTCAGAGAGTTAGGTAACTTGTCCAAGTAGAGTGAGGAAGGCTGGCATAAACCCAGGCCTCTGTGATTTGTAGTCTTTACTAAAATTCTATTTCAAGGTACTAATTTGAGGTCCTGTATTTTATATTATATATTTAGAAGGCATGCTTAGAACAGCCAATCTGAAAACTTTTTCAGCTGACACAGGATGGAAAATGTTCACTTCTCTACTCTCTTGTGAGCATATATAGGATTATAATTTCTTGCTCACTGGCTGTAGCTTCACTCTTTTCCCACTCATGTAAGTATATTGGAATGCAAATGAGTGAAATTTGTAAAACTTTTTAAACAAGGAAATCATTCTTAGAATATTGATTCTTTAGAAACACACCTTTCTTGTGACACATCACATGTCTTGATAGTGGTACCATTTTTGAGAATGGCTTTTTTTCAAAGATGTTGTGATTTTGTTTAAGTAGAAGACCTAATACAAAGGTATATTTTTGTAGTTATTTATTTTGAAAAGATGACATTCACTGGTGGTGTTATATGCAACACTGAAGTTTTCAATCCTGTTCTCATATAATTCTAATTACACTGAATACTAATTTAAGTCAAAGATTTTAGGATATACTTGCTATAAAAAAAGCTATGACATTTTACCAGATATTATTATTTGGGGATTAGTTATGCATTTTCTCTGTTGTTTATGAGAGTAATAGAGAATTGAAGGCAGTAATTTAACCTGTGATTTACCAGGTCTTGAAGTGAATTTTACAGTTTGCTGATCTGGACTCTTATTGAGAGATTATACTCACTGTAGAATTTTAGTATGTATGGGTAGAAACATTGCATTTAAGCCCTGATTTGCCCTTGTCTGATAGTGTGAAGATTCTGAGATTATCTATGAAATGGGAATAATAATGTCTCTCACAATTCTTATGACATTTGAATGTTAATTTCAATGTAATATGGTAGGGATGGCAAAGTAAATTTTATTAAAGTAATACATTTCTTTGGTGGGGGTGGAGAGGGAGAGAAAGAATCTCAAGCAGACTCCCCAGTGGCTTGAGATTCCCCCTCCTCCAACACAGACAGGCGTTTGCTGTCTCTCTCATATAAATAAATATTAAAAAAAATAAAAAAACTTGTTTTTGATAATGTATTTTTTGACAGCTAGCATAATACTTGTTATATGGTTGTTATTGATCCCCCAAGTAGTTAGTGAGCACGTGAGCAGGCTTATAATAGTGAATAAAATATTAGTGGGCCCTCCTTAGAGTAGAAAATAGAGAAAGACAATGTGAGTTCAGGGCTATATGTTCCATAGGTACCCTTATGAGTCAGGGTAAAAGCCCATGTCGTAATGCCATTTTAAACTAACCTGAGGAGTGGGCCAGTAGTCAGGCAAAAAGGGAGAAATGCCTGGGCATAAGATGAGGGAGAGGCAAAAGCTTTGAGATAAGAGAGATCAGGTACATTTTAGAAATGGATACCGAATCTGTATGACTAATATAGGATGTAAAGAAGGGGTGGGAAAGAGGTACACAATAAATAAACTGTAAGCCTGACTGCCTGAGTTGTGTTAACAAGTTTAGGTTGGTTTGCACTGAAGGCTATGGGGAAACTTACAGGATTTTAAGGGAGAAGAGAGTGAAATACTCAGCTTTGTTCTGCAGCTTTTAGAGAATGGATTGAAAGTGAAGTAAGATTGAATACAAGTAGGCAATTTAAGAGACTTGTTGCTAACTAAGTCCAGGAAAGAATTAATCAGTATTTGAGTATTGGCATTGGAGGAATGGTATTAAGTCTATAAGATTTGATGATTTACTGGATGTAGGCTCTGTAGAGCCTGTAACTTTGCTTCTGGTGGTAGAGTATGGGATAAATTTTCCTCAAAGATCGTGTTACTATTTCATGTAAAGTTGAGATGCTTCTGGGGCTAAGACAAAGCTAGATGTATTCTCAAATATGCACTTTCAGTTGACTCTCTACATTGTTAGTTACAGAGTTTACCCATCCCAAAGTAAGCATACCAATATGGGTATTCCTAGGTATTCCCTGGGCTCTGCCCAAGTGGCGTAGGGGAACATAGGGCTCTGCCCTGTGATGTACTGTTCCATTTCTGCTGCGTTGGAAATGAAGCTGGGCCTTGAGTCTGTGCCTGCATATTCCTACAGCTTCTCAGAGTCCTATGGATGATGACTGAGGAGACAAACCATGAGGGAAACAGATCTCTAAGCACTCCCTATCTGGATCTAGGTTGATTGGAAATGAAAGAAAAATCTGCTTTTATCAGCTGCTATTCTACTGAATTAAGCTCTTACCTACCTTCTTTTGCAGTGGTTGCTCAGGATTCCAGATAATTTATTTGATTTGAGGAGAGAAGAGGAGCCTTACCTAACATTGGCAGTTGACACTTTACATACACTTTGGGGTCCTTTATTTGGCAAGGAGAGTTGGTAAAGTGAATGATAAATGCCGTTTTTGTAAGATAAGCCTGGAGGTGTGGAAACTGGGGCCCATTTGACCCCCATTAAAAACTGTCCTTTAGAGTAAGTCAAGGCGGGGGACAGTAGGTTAGAAAACCAAAGTAGGAATATGAGTCTGGGGACTCATGAGGCCTCCAAGAGTTAGGCATTCAGTTTCCACAAGAGGCCAGTAGCATGCTAACAGTTGCTTTAGAGAAGGAATATGCCTGATAAGTTGTGTCCTCCCCTTTGTAAATCTTACTCAAACCCTATTGATTGAATCTGGATGTTCCCTCCCTTTATAGGTAGGGTGGTGTCGCCATGGGTGCCTCTCTATATCTAGAAGAATCTTAAAGCTTTGAGTCCCTCTCAAAAGTTCCTTAGGCAGTGTACTGGTCCTGTAGCCTTCAGTCCATAGGGGTCAGGGAGACCTCAGCCCCATCCTTTATCATTTTTTTCTGCCAAGCAGGAGAATTTGGGAAGTAGAAGAGGAGGGTGTAGATGGGAGCACCAAGGGAGAGAGCAGCTATACCAGTAATCAAAACTTTGTGTTCATTTTTGGTTATTCCCTTATAGTTAAATCAAAGGAACTTCTAATACTTTTGGTCCAACTAAAATTTCATTTTGGCAGCAAGGCCATCATTACTTACAAAATCTATTTTAGTTTTGAGGATTCCATGGTTCAGCAGTCACAGCCACATTGCCTTTCATCTGGAGACACAGGGCTTGTTGCCTCATTGTCTTGGCATATCCCTTCCTCTGCCAGCCCAGAGGAGAATGAACAACCATCAAGTCACCATTTGGGTGGCTTATTTCAATTCCACTTCTCACTGCCTGGTTTCTCTAAACATTAATTCAACTCCTGTTTAACAGATACGGTAGTAGGGATCCATATTCTCACCTTCTCCCTACCTACCATCTGACCACTCTCAGATCTCAGAATGTCTTCCCATTTCTTAGAACTCTGCCCTTGGGCGCCTTTATCTTCTGTCTTCTAGAGAGTCATGGATGGCTCTCTCATCATCCCATCCTTACTGCCAATACTGTCCAGAACCATGATGGTTTGGGATCTTACCCTAATTGCAAGATAGTAAGTTACCATGTGCCATATTTTCATGGATGCTGGTAGAAAACATGAAACTCCTGTGTAAGAGATGGACAGTTTATTACTTTAATAGCAGTAGCCAGGACATCAGCATTTGAGATGTATTTTCTCCAAGGTAAGTTGATAACTGTTAACACTTGCTGAGAAAGTAATGAGTAACATATCCAGGCGTCTTTTGATTTGAAAAAAATCATGTTTTTTTAAGAATTTCAGGGACATTAAAGTGAAGTGTTAGAAAACCATCTTGGGTTGCAAGGTGTGAGATTACTTTGTTTTTGTTTATATCAAACTATAGTTCTCTACTTAAAATTCTGGAAACCTCTAACAAAACAATTTAAGCACTTAAAAAAATTATTTATTTATTTGATAGAATGAGAGAGCACAAATAGGGGAAGTGGCAGAGGGAGAGGGAGAAGCCCTCCACTGGAAGCCTGATACGGGGCTTGATCCCAGGACCTTGGGATCATGATCTGAGCCAAAGGCAGATGCTTGACAGCCTGAGCCACCCAGGTGCCCCTAATGAAGCACATTTTTAATGAGGCAGCTTTTCCTTTAGATCTTAAGACAGTGTAGATTTAGGGGAGTTAAGAGGGGTTGGCATAGTTGGAGGGAGGTTTAAACTTGGAGTTTTGTTTTTGGTTTTTTTTTTTTTAAGGGGAGTTGGGCTTCATTTTATCAATCGGCATTTTCTAACTCTTGTCCAGTTATTTTCTGTAAACAAACGTAAAACATTTTACTTTGAAAGCTAACTTGTTGAAAATTGTTACATTTAAACTTGTTTTGGCTTAAATATTTAATATGTTCTGGCATTATGTAAATACTATTTACCTAGTTGTTTTCTAAAGTACAGAAAAGTCAGCTTCATTTATTCTATTCATTTGGCTTAAAGTGTACATGAATGTACAGAGCTGGAAATGTAAAGAAATCTACCTACGGTGGCGCCATTTCTAAGTTATTAGTGGATAAAAGTTTGATGTCTAAGAATCAAGGGCTGAAGCATTTTGGAAATACTCTTTGATAATTGGGACTTCCTATATTAAAATGTGAATATAGTTAAACCCAAAGCTTTTCCTTTTTATTTATAGAACAGTATGTTGAAGCAATAGTCAAAATATGTAGCCTGGGGTTGGCAACCCTTTGAAATGGGTGTGCCAAAGTTCCGTTATAGTATGTGTCATGGTGACAACTGGCCAGTGTTCTGTCTTTGGTATGTGTCACTGACCCTTTAGTAGTCTATTAGCAAATTAAAAATTCGTTTAAGAACTTTGTTTTAGCTGATTTTCAGTGTTCTTTACAGCAACGTTTAAAAATTGTGTATATTTTATTAAAATGAAATCTAATTTTTTAAACCATTCTCAGTTTGCCTAGTTTGGGTAGGTAGATAGCTTATGATTTTAAATAATTAAAAAAATATTTAAACATTTCAAAGATTTCCCTAGTTGAGGTAAACAAGCAAAACTTAGTGAAGTCTTTTCACTGACTCTGGTCTCTCCGATCCTTTCTAGGGTCTTACTCGGGTCTTACAAGTGAGCTCTTTTTTTTTTTTTTCAAGTGTAACTGGTTTACAGTGTTACAGGAAACTGTCTTCAAGTCATAAAGTAAGACTAAACAGGTGCTGTAAGACAATTTATCCCAGACAGTTATAAGTCACGTGATTGGCAAATATTTTCTCCCAGTCTCTGCCTTGTCTTGTTATTTTCTTAATGGTATCTTTTGAGGTGCAGGGGTTTTGAACTTTGATAGAGTTGTTTAGTTTCTTTTTCTTCTAAGGATCATACTTTTGGTGGTGTGTCTGTCAAGTCTTGGCCCAACCCAGGGCTCTGAGATTTTATGCTTGTGTTTTCTTCCAAATGTTTTATATTTTGTAGTTTTAGCTCTTATGTTTGGGTCTGTGATCCACTTTTAATTAACTTCTTAGAAAAGATTTTATTTATTTATTGAGAGAGAGAGCATGTGGAGGGAGGGGCAGAGGGAGAGAGAGTCCCAAACAGAATCCATGCCAGTCACAGAGCTGATTGTTGGGCTTAAACTCCGGACCCTGAGATCATGACTTGAGCCAAAACCAAGAGTTGGATGCCCAACCTACTGAGCCACTCAGGTGCCTCTAATTAACTTTTATATATGGTGTAAGGTAGATTTATTAAGTTCATCTTTTTGTATTTAGATATCCCAGTTGTCTCAGTCCCATCTATTGAAAAGACTGGCCTTCCCCTGGTTGAATTGCCTTGGTATCTTTGTTGATAATTAATTGACCCTAGACATATGGGTTTATTTCTGGACTCTTTTTTCTGTTTTATTGGTCTTATATGTGTAGCCTTCTGCCAGTACCACATGTCTTGATTACTGTAGCTTTTCATGCCATATTTTAATAGCACAAATAGCATTCTTTTCTTATAAAATTATATGCACGGGGATCCCTGGATGGCTCAGCAGTTTAGTGCCACCTGCCTTGGCCCAGGGCGTGGTCCTGGAGTCCCGGGATCAAGTCCCACTTTGGGCTCCCTGCATGGAGCTTGCTTCTCCCTCTGCCTCTCTCTCTCTCTTTCTCTCTTTCTGTCTCTCTTGAATGAATGAATGAATGAATGAATGAATGAATAAAATCCTTAAAATAAAATAAAATTATATGCTCATTTGTTAAAAAAAAAAAAGAACATGAAAAAGTAAGCAAAAATGACCATCTAAGTAATCAGTGTTCTGGTGAACATCTTTCTAGCTATCTTTGCACATACATGCATGTTGTATGAATGCACATCCATCCTCCACAGTTATTCATAAAGACACATCAGTGTTTGCCCCACGCTCATTGTTCTTGTGTACTTTTTGAGTGAATACATTTATTGTCAACTTTAAGAGAGAACTGATTATTTTTCTTTCTTTAGGCACTTCTGTAATTCTGTGAGTTTTTACTGACATACACTTCTGAGAAGAGCAAAGATTCTTTGGGCTAAAAACTGAGTGCTTTTTTTTTCTTGGTAGCATGTTAATTTAAATTTATTTCTCACTTCATCTGCTGAAAGATGACTTTAAAACAAATTTTCTAATGTGTGCTCTTTTGAATGGACAGCAGATTATGTGTGGAACATTAACAAAATTAAACCCCAAATCCAGTTCTAAACATTTAAAGTTTCTATAAATCTGCTCTTGAGCATTAGAATAACTTTTTGGCAGTTGTGATTACCACTGTGGAGCCAGTAAATACTATATGTGTGGTGATAGAGTTTTATTTGCTATCATATAGCAAATAAAAGGACTGATCCCTGCTGCAAGTTTATTTTTGCCATGTTAATAAAGGAATAACACCTTTTGCTCTTTTGCATTTTGTGGATTCAGCCTGTAATCCTTGATAAAGTAGCCATTGTGGAACTGTGACCAAACTCTGAAACACTTTCTCATCTTGAGTGTAGGTCAGATCTCATGGTCAGAAACATCTGGCAGTGCAGAGCCATTAAAGGTTTTGAGTTTAGGGAGTGGCAATGACAGGTTTCAAAAAGCCACATTTACATTCATTTATTGGAAATTTGATGTTTGAAAAAGAAATGCTGAAATTTTGTAGAACCGGATTCCTCAATGAAATTAATAAATGAAGTGGTTTTGTACAAGATTTTAAAAAGAAAATTTAAGAAATATTCACATGACAAATGGACTCTTTACAGAAGGGA